CCCCAAAACCCCAAAACCCCATAAGTATAAATAAATGTATTATTAAAAGATGGAGTATTTTAATTCTATAGCCAAATAAAATATTGAATATTATAGATAGATGCTAATATTCAAGTTGCTAATTAGTCACTATTAACTTTAGAATCATCTGATCAATTAATTTATATATTATCAGTTTACAATTCTGTCTCTTTTAATTTTCCATTTTCGTATTTATTAATTTTAATTTTACCTCCATCTTTTGGAATATTTATTACAATTCCATGCCTTTTACTAAGAAACCATTATCCAAAATCAATATTTCCATTCTTGGTAGTGAATACTCCTAAACCTTATCTCTTATTGTCTACCCATTATCCATAGTATTAATCTCCGTCGCTCCATTTAAACAATCCTAATCCTCCTTTAAAACCATTTAAATATTATCCTTCATATGAACATCCATCATCCTAATGATATTTACCATATCCAGATTATTATCCATCTTTGTACTCACCAACAAAATAACTTCCACTATTTAAAATATATCTTCCATATTCATTAAGTTTATTATCTTTCCAGACTCCCTCATATAAATTACCTATTATGCTAATCTTTCGTCCTCTTCCATCAAATTTTTTAGTGACACTATCAATTTCTCCCTGATATTCATCATGATTAACTTTTATGTAATCCACAAAGATTCTGTTAGGATTAGGATGTATATTTTAAACAGCAGGAAAGTTAAAATGCCCAATTTAAGCCAGGACTTCGTTTACCTTTTCTGTTTTTGATTTCAATGTGATATTAAATGTTGCTAAGTTCTAAGGGATAATAATAGCTTCAATAGATTTTTCTTCTTCATCAATATGCTTGTTAAAAGGCTCATTGATCAGTAGGCACAAATCAGCAATGAGTTCAAGTGCCTATGGTCTTTGAGAAGAATTAAGACTTAGCATTTTGTTTAAAAGTGGCTCAAATATTTTTCTATTTTCGGGTAGTCTAAAATCATAAGCAGGATCTTTCTTCTTAATGTCACTTAATCTTTTCCCTTCTATATCATAATATTCCGTGCATAAGTAGTATAAGATAATTCCTGCTGACCATATATCAACTTAGTTATTATAGCTATATTCTTCCTCATTCGAGATTTCGGGGGCTTTAAAGTACTTTTTGCCCACGTATATAAAAGACTCTGCATTATGAGAGGCAAGTCCAAAATCACAAATCTTAAATTTAGTTCCATTTTCAAAGACAAGAATGTTGTCAGGGCTCAAGTATCTGTGCATGATATTTTGATTATGTAGGTAATTCACACCTTTCAAGATTTAAAGCATAATATCGGTGATCTGTTTGTTGCTGAATCCTGAATTACTTTCTCTGAATGTTCTGAGGTCAGTCTCTGCAAGCTCAGTAATAATGACGAATTTGTTGTCATCAGTAAAGTAAGATTCATGAAACCCAGTTATGTTTTAGTGATTTAGTTTGAAAGTATTGACTTCTCTGAAGATGCGGATGATTTCGTTGCTTTAGTTATTTGGAGATTTGTTGATTAGTTATTTTAGATTTTGTATTTTCATAGCATAGAACTTCTGATCTTAAGTGTTTCTGACTTTGTATACTAAACCGAAAGCACCCTCTGAGATTTCTGAATCAAATATGTAGTTTTCCCACAATGGCTGCACAGTCAAAGATATGTATTTTTCCATCTTAACCTTAAATTAATTACTATTTAATAATCTAATTTTACCAGATATCACTTCAAAGGGGGTTTTGGGGTTTTGGGG